GCGGCTACTGGAAAATAGAGCTACAATAAGGCTTTTGATGTGAAACATTCACAGTGGCATTTCACTGCCAAAAGATTAACAGCAAAAGGAAAAAAAAAACCTAAACTGGATGGGAAAGAAAAATCTGTTGAAATGATTCACTAAATCTGTTAAAGAATGCAACGAATCATTTTAGGAAGATGGCAAACATCAACAACTATGATCAGGTTAAAGACTTCATAGCCTTGTTGTTGTGAGACTGCGAGAAAAAAAACAGTAAACTGCAACAAGTGACTGTAGTCTGCATCATTTACAATGTAACATACTTGTGCACAAATGAAACAAATAATACTGTGTTAAGCAGTGATATTTAGAGGTATCCATAAACAATTTTTGTCACTAATCCACAGAGCCAACTATATATGCTATATATATGCTATACATGTAGCTTTTTCCCCAGTGTATATGTTTAGTGCTAAACTAAGCATAATCCCTTCACTGTCCAAATCCATGTTTTATGAATAGATAGATGAATAGAATAGATTTTAAGCGCCTTGAGGCGACCTTTGTTGTGATTTGGTGCTATATAAATAAAATTGAATTGAATTGTGAGGAAGAGGGAGCTGAGTGTAAAAGCGAAGCTCTCAATTTACCGGTCGATCTACGTCCCTACCCTCACCTATGGCCACGAGCTGTGGGTAGTGACCGAAAGAACGAGATCGCGGATACAAGCGGCAGAAATGAGCTTCCTCCGAAGGGTGGCTGGCCTCTCCCTTAGAGATAGGTTGAGAAGTTCGGCCATCCGGGAGGGGCTCAGAGTAGAGCCGCTGCTGCTCCACATCGAAAGGAGCCAGTTGAGGTGGTTCGGGCATCTGACAAGGATGCCTCCTGGGCGCCTCCTGGGTGAGGTGTTCCAGGCATGTCCCACCGGGAGGAGGCCCCGGGGCAGCCCCAGGACACACTGGAGAGATTATATCTCTCGGCTGGCCTGGGAACGCCTTGGTGTTCCCCCGGATAAGCTGGAGGAGGTGGCTGGGGAGAGGGAGGTCTGGGCCTCTCTGCTTAGGCTGCTGCCCCCGCGACCCGGCCTCGGATAAAGCGGATGAAGATGGATGGATGGATGAATACAATATCTGAGCAATATTGATCTTCAAATCGAATCAATGTAGTCTGTGCAGTAGACATAATATATAATATTTAAAAACAAATTACCAAACAACATCTATAAAAATAAGTAAAATAGAAAATAGAAATGAAGGTCTGTCTGTATCATATGCTGGCCTTGCTCACCCTGCAAATTCTCCGGCAGCTACGATGACCTGCATGTTTGCCACTCTGTTTTTCACATGATCCTGCATTCATTTTATGCGGGAACATTCCTTCTCGAAGCAGCTGAAAGGTTCTTTTTGTGAAGCGCACAGTGTTGATTTGGTACCTAAAATCTTCATCTAACTCCCTTTCCTCTGTTCCACACAAGACTGACCTCAGCATGGCCTTCTCAGCATGAGTACCTTTCACGAACTGATGAGACCCAGTTAGCCCATGGCATTGAGGTGTAATGAAAGGTGAAATAGTGTTACTCTCCAACATGAGGTTGTAATTGACTCTCCATCATCTCCCTCTCCTGTCCTCATTAAAGCATACAGCATGAACAGGTACTGTGACAACTCTGGCCCGGGGGCCACACAACCAGAACCGTGAAGCATAAAGCGCCATTCAATCCCTCATCCTAAGTAAGCTACAGATGGACTGGCTTTGCCTGCAGAGCCTTACATATCTCTGTCTAGGCAGCGGAGGCTATGAATTAGAATCCAATATCTCCACACTGTATGGTGATAGCATCATCTCGGATACTGATAACATCCCATTTTGCAGCGATGGCATCAGATGGAACAGGGATATCATTGCATGCAGGGATAGGGATTGGGTGCTATCACAGAGATTGCTGCAGCGCTGCTCTAGCTGTAGGGTTTTAACCATGACGACTCCATCCCAAGGTTACGACAGTATGAAGTTTGGTCATTTTCCAAACAGATACGAGAAAGGAAAGGGAAGGGTGGGTGGCCCAAAACCTGATAATGTTAACCTATTCCAGAGGCGTTTTTGGACCTTGGGGGTAGACGATGACATGAAGCAAAAAATTGAAGCTTATCAGTTTCAGATTCTCTGTCTTGCTTGAGGTGTTACTTTTCAGAGAGGTAGAAATAAATTAAAAGTCATATACGGAGAGTGTGTGTAAGTTACTAATTCTTTTCAACAACCTCTTCCCCCGAAAAGAAAAAAAGATTCTGTTGTCAGACTGTGCTTACACGCCATCCCTTTACACAGAGGCCATACTACCATTAAAAATAAAAGCCTCTAAATTAGCACCCGGCATACAAAAGGCTCCACTTGGCCTGTTTAAAATGCATTGAGAGACACCAAGAGAAAGCACTTGATGAAAAAGCCCAAACTCAGCAGCCAAAAGACGCAAAAGCCACGCCGTCGGAAAATCTGGGGCCCTGTTCTAACAGTTGGGGACATCATGAGTTCAGCACAACAAGCGCTAAAGTTAAATAACTTATGAGCATAAATTAGATGGGAGCAGATTTTTCTGAATACTGTGTCACTACAGTGCTCTGGATTCCCTCATGCAAATACAAAGCGAGCTGGCTTACGGCGACCTCAGCAGAATTCAATATTCACCCAGCTTATACCCCCAGTCATTTTCTTTGGCTTTTGTGTAAAGAGCTTTGAGTTTTCAGAAAAATGCAGTATCAATAAATGCATTGTTAGAGTGACACTAAGAAGTGGGTATTCAAATAACTCTTTATATTTTCAAAAAAAGGGAAATTGCAGCAGACCACATTATTGGTGAGCTTTCAACTCCTTCTGTACCCTCGGGCTATTTTCATTCCGGCACTCTTCTGACTTTTTTTACCTCTGCCCACAAGGGGCGTCCTGAAGTATACCCGGTGAGAACAGTTTGACCCTCTTCACTCTCCTCAGTGCAATGCAAATACTCTTGATCTGAGAGGCGCTGGCAGATTTGAGCAATATGATAATTGTTCCTCTCAGCCCACTGAAAGCCTAGCTGGGTTTTTTTCTGTTCTCTTCAAGGACTATGTCAAACAAAACTCGTAAAGTACCTACACGTATACAGAAGGGAATGTGCCAAACTACCTGTGGTGTACCAGCTAGTGACAGCATTCTAGCAGAATATTATTCCTGTCTGTGCCTTCTGATTAAAAAAACTGCTTTGTTTCACATTTTGTGAAAGCACCATGACAAAGCCAAGTCAAACACAATAATAACGCTTTTTTTTTGTTTTCCTTAAATCAGACAACCCTAGCAGGAATTACAGTATTTGCTTACATGGAAAGCAGAAGCTTGTATAGATTAATATCCAACTGAATATCCCAGCAGTGTCTGAGACCACACATGCTGAGATGTCACAGCACGAGCTAATTAAAATGCACCCAGTGTCTGTTGTTATGCAGTGATCATATGCTGGAGCACGCATCTTTGGTGAATCTGCCATATTGCCCGCTGTGACGTTTCCCTCTACCGAACTCGAGACTAGTTTCTAATTGCCAGCCATCTTTTCTTTTAGGCAGTGACATTGGTCCGCGCTGCACAGTGGTGCAGACGAGTGTGGCTGAGCATGACAATCAAGTGATCAGAAAACGCAGCAGGGGGTCCACAAATTGAGAGTGCACTTACACCGCGGGTCTATATTAGAAAATACTGGCCTTCATAAAAATTGGATGATCATACTGTATGAAACGCATCGCAGTGACAGTTTTGATGTCAGAACCTGAATCAAAGAGGACAAGCACAAGACAGTGACATACACGAAAATGATACTACATCTGCTTTTTGTTTGTTGAACTGCACAGTGTATGCTTGACTAGTGCTATTAAATTCACTTTTAAGACTATAGGTGGGTTGGATAGGGTGCAGATTAAGGGAAAGCTATCAGACAGATCTCCTTTTGATACTGCAGTTTGTATGGCAAACAGTGGAAAAATCGAAGGTTACATCATGCTCAAAAAAAGCACCATCTGCTAAAGACACTGGCACTGTAGGCTAACTGTCATGGGAGCATCCAAAACAGATCACATACTCCAAGTGGTCTGTATAAAGCGAAATATCCTAGGGCCTGAGGTCAGCTTATTTGTACTTGCTGACCCGTGGTGCTGTGAGTCGAATCTGGCTGGCCAATAATTGAAACACACACAAAAAAAAGGTGTTTGCGATGTGGTTTTGCTGGCTATTGGAGCTCGGTACTCAAACAAAGTACTGTGGACATAATGGATGGAGGCCAGGGCAGAGGAGATGGGGGCAGATGGCTTCATCATCAGGGACTCTTTGATGTCTGTTCATAGCATCAAAGACAATGAATAGATCTGGAGAACAGTGACCATGAAAGTATGAACAGGAAAAGCTGTTTATATTTATGTGGTGGTCTGACAGAGTCAAAAACACCCAAACAGTCAAAGAAAGACAAATAATGTGATTAAGGAAGCAAATAAGACTTACGAAACACTGTTTTTTTTTTAAAAGGAATGAACAAATCTATTTTCCTTTCCAGCTTTGAGTCATCTATCGATGTGCAATTCTCTAAAAAAAGAATTTGTAAAATGTAAGAAAATATTAAAAAAATATGTACAGTTTTGTAGAAACCCAGAGGACATTTTTACATTAGATTTACATATAAATATGTTTTACATTTTTCAAAACACTGAACAACTGCAAATCTTTGCAATTACAAGCTTTAGCCAGTTGTTTGTTAATATCGCTTAATAAATGACTTCTTAGCAAACTAAAACCAATTAAGTTCTTTTCCTTGAGCAAATGATTAATGGACTGCTGCAATACAAAGAGATGTTAGTCCTGTAGCAGGGGAGGCGCTGCATCAATGAGGAGTTTTTTCAAGCCATTTGATATTTGTCATCCTTTTTTATAAATTTGGTAAAGATGCAAAAATATAAATTTCAGGACTTTTAGACTCACCAGATTTCATGATTCTTATCTTTTTTAATTTTCTATAAATTATTAACTTGAAGATGTCGAATTGTGTGCACTCTTTGAATTACAGTTTTAGTAAAATATTTAGTTAAACAGCCAATTCAATTTAAATGTATTTATTTAGAGTCAAATAACAACAACAACAGATCCTAAAATACTATAGAGAAAAACTCCAACAATCAGACAACCTCTTATGTCCCCCTTGGCGACAGTGGGAAGGAAAAACTCCCTTTTAACAAGCAGAAACCTCTGGCAGCACCAGGCTCAGGGAGGGGCAGCCATCTGCTGTGATCAGCTGTGGGTGAGGGGAAGGAAACGGGACAAAAGACACACTTTGGAGGACAGCCAAGCCACTTGTAGCTAAAGACAGAAAAGTCAGCAACATCACTAAGGGGGCGAATTTTGCTGGCTGACCTTCATGATCACACCCTGAGATGTCTGTGACTGTACTGAGCGAGGGGTTTCCCCTCATAGTCAAGAGGTTTATTAGATGGGGCATTGTTTGGTGCAAAACAGGGCATTGCTTATTTGCAATTTCTGAATCATAAGCTGTTGAATATACCCGAACATAAGACGCTATTATGACCAAAACATCAGATGTTGCTTATAACCAGTATATTAGGACGTTTCAAATAGTATTTGAAACAGTATGAGACAACAGAGCATATTTTAGTGTTGAGAAATGTCTTATTCTTTTCCTCACAGAGCCAAGATCTGAAAATCCTTCTAGTGACATCTGTACTAAACATCCCACAGAATTAGATTTAATTGGTCCCTGATCCCTCCAGATACAAATAGTCCCAGTCTTTCTGCATAGCCCAGGGTAACACCTTGAAACGCCTAACCCACAAGTCGGCAGTGAAAAAACGCATACGGTGTGGAGTTGACTGACAGGAACATATATTTATTTGACAATTAAATGGAAAGGCAGAGAAGTCTTGCTGCTGCTACAAGTGTGTTTGTTTGTGTGCCTGTATTGGCTGGATGCATGTATGACTTTATTATTAGAAAGCTCTTGTTTTTCTTTCTGAGGTAGGTGGGCGGATAGGCACAGGGCTGACAAGGAGAACGGCTACGAGGAGGATGCTGCCTGGTTGGACACAATCCAGAGACTCTCGCCAGTGAGAAGGCCTATAGGGGCGTCTCTGTAATTTAAGAAGTGTGCATATTGATAGACATGTGAAGAATTAACGGTGGCAAAATCGCCAACCACGGACCCATTTACTCTGCAGTTGGTCCTTTGTGGCGCTATACTTGGCACAGCACCCCTCAGTGCATGCATTAACCCAGCAGCAGTCAAAGTCAAAGAAAGAGACTGCAATCTGAACATTAACATTGAAAAAGGCAATTTTGTGATTTGCTATTGCAGAACTAATTGAGGATTTTACTATGCTAGAGATGTCCCATGAGTCTATGTGATATCATCATTGATTCAAGCTGCTATATGGAAGGATTGCTTTGGTCACCAAAGTTAGCATGGGAGAAACCAACTGGTCTGCAAAAATGCAAACTGGAAATGCCGAACATTTGCCTTGAAAGGAAAAGCTGCACCTCTTGAAATGTGTTGGCTGCAGCGGTAAGCCATCAGTTTTACTTTGAAGGAAACTGTTCTCCGTTTCCTGTTTTTGTGTCAGCGTTTTAAGTTTTGCTACCACTTGGTAGCTAGCAAGTTTATGGTAGCAGCCAAAGCTGCAGTTTAGTGCAACATCCTCTCAGCAATCAATTCTACCTTTGACTTCTAGCAGCCTCTGACAACTGCTGGAAATATGCATTTGTCAGAGGCCTAAAGACATTGACCCGTTCCTGGGCCTGTGCAACTGAGATCTTGGTATAGATATAGAGGGTATATCTGACTTATCAGTGCAAACTTGCAAGTGAACTGTGCCTACCAATATTTTTTAAATAATGTTATATGAATTCTGAAGTCTGAGAAAAACACAAAATGTGATTTTTGTCTTTCTTTCAGGCCTACCCTATAGAATTTAGTAAAGTAAAACAAGGTATAGAAAAAAGTCTTGCTATACTCTATGGTTATGCTGTTTTGGTTAATATAAAGTACTGTAGGCAGTTGACAAGATTACAGAGTCTAGTCAAGAGATTATATTAGCCAGGGAAACTAACTGTTTTAATGCATAATTTGAATTTATTCACCTGTTATAAGCTACGTATTTTATATATATTAATAATTTACTGTATGTATAATACCTATCATCACGTTTCATAAAAAACAAGATCATTTATATGATATACAGTAAATCATGTGAGAGTTAAACGTGGAAATATGTATAAAAGATATCTGCTAGTATCACAGAGAAGTACATACAAAAGACACAGAAAGCAAACTCACACACACATAAAGAACTGTTCGCACTGGTTGTCTGTCCGAACTTGCACACTTGTAAAGTATCAAGACAGGACACAAAAAAAAGAAGTACAACCTTTGCAAGTACTGATTATTTCCCCTGCATTGGAAGATAGAGAAACTCAGCTCAATTAAAATGTGGAACTTTGGGGCAAAGAAAGGCTCAGAACACGTTCTAAGGATTAATATTTAATTCTAACGAAAAGATGGGCTGTTACTGCCGTATTAACTTGCAAGTCTGTTTCCGATGAGGTCACACACCCTTTGGTTTTTCTTGCAACATCACAAAACCAGCCTTAGGTCTACTGCCATTCCAGATAGCCACCTCAGCCTCCTAAACCACTCAGAATGAGTGTGTTCTGTCCCCAGTCCCATGCCACTACCAGAGGGGGGGACAAAGCTGACACATCCCAAAGTCTAGAGAGACACAGCCGAGACCCACTGTGCCAGGGGATCTGCATGAGTCTCATAATGACTCAGTTTCAAAGGAGATCCTGCCTTTCCTGCCACAGCCCTGCATAGCTTTTGATCTCGCGCTACACTCCCACCCACTCCCTCGCTCTGCTCTGTTTTTCAAAAATTCTAATTAAGAGGAAAGACAGAGATGATGAGTGCAAAGTTGTGACCCCCTCCCGGGGACGGAAAGAGACGAACAGTGTGCCTGAAACAGTCTTATTCAAGGAGCGTCACCTTTACAGTTGAAACATAAATAAAACATATGCATTTTGGTTTTGCCGTCCAGAGTTTCTGGAGATTCTGTAACATTTTTGTTATTGAGCAAATAAGATAAGATAAGATGACTTTTATTAGTCCCACAGGTGGGAAATTTGTTTTGTTACAGCAAAAGTGCAAAGTTATGTAGCAGAAATTAGAAAACACTGGAATGCAATAAAATTAAATAAAATACTATATACAATAGAATAAAATAGAATAATATATACAATAGAATGAAATAGAATACAAATGCTATATACAACTGAGTAAGAAAATACAACTATGTCAGAAAAAGAATTGCACATATAGCAGTCTTATTGCACATGTGTGGGTTTGATCAACTGCAAGTCTTTGTTCAAATCAGAAGCAACATGTAATAAAAAGACAATAAAAGTTAGGGTGACCTACTGGGTTAATAAGAACAAAATGTCACGGTCAAGTAATTCATAGCAGACCTGTTTTATGTATCTATGTGGCTCATAATCGCTCACATTTAGTCTAAAAGAGCAGATGAGACCTTATTTTTGCCATCTGCTTACTTTTTTAAACTTTTAATTGTATGTTTCTAGATTTGACTACTACAAACAATACACAGTGAGCACAAAAAAAACAAACTAATTATAAGCTTATTTTCATCAGAGAAAAAAGGTGTGAAGTTTTTTAATTAGTGCACATCACAACAGTAAATAAGAATGTGAGGAAGGCTTGCTCTCAGATGTTGAGAACCCATGTGCATTCACATGACCTAGAGTCTTTTAACTGTGGCCTGTTTCTCACTGGTTTGGCAGATGTTTTTGCTGTTTTCTGCAATCTCATTTTACTTGGAAGCTGTAATTATCAGCATACAGGTGCACAAAGCAAACGAAACCATTAATAATTAAAGGATTAAACTTTTAAGCTGGTTTAGCGCAGACTTATGTGGTGTGCAGCTTTGATGCTAATACAGATTTAAAAGAGAGCTTTCTGCAGAGAGGAGAGATGGATACAGAGATATGGTACAAATTAACATACTGCCCCATGATTTGCATGTGCAACTATCTTTTCTTTCCCGTGCTGTCGGTTAAGGGCAGATGAAAAGGCGCTGACTTTCCTACCTGCGGTCGAGGATGACCTGTCACCAGACAGGTGAGCTCCAGGGTCTCCCCTTCTCGTATGGTGTAGACTCTCTCGGTGTGCCTCTCCTCTTCAACATTACAGGCGTGCCCCGAGTGTATAATGCGGACCGTAGGAGGTGCTGTTTGGGGGGGAAAAAGCACAAAGTGTGTTAGCATTCTGGTCGTTTCTGAAGGAATGAGTAGTTTAGTGAAGTAGATGGTGTATTGATTAAAAGGTTGTCTCACTTATAACAAGGCTATTCCAAAGCTTTGTGCACACATTTACACTGCACCAAGCACACAAATAACTAGAGACAGGTAAAAGAATTGCAAAAAGAGGTGACACTACTTTTATAGCATTCCCCTTGGCTTAGCATTTTAAAAGCTGCCTATTAATTATTGGGGACTGGCAGTAGTAGCACTTTGTCTCTCTCTAAGTCACAAGGGTAAGCAACCAAACTTGGCACACAGGTAGGCCCATAAAGGTTCTTATCTATATCAGAGGTTGTGACAACATTGTGTCGCTAAATAACCACTCGGCAACAGGCTTAAATCATGTATTTTGAGCATTTATGCAACTGTAACACTTTATAAAAGCATCATATCATTTTTGTTTCACCAAAACAACATTTCATTTAAGTCCACAAATGTTGAATTATGCATGATGTATTATGATGCCATCCTGCTACCTAGCAACGACCTAGCAACAGTGTAAAATGACCCACTTTAAGCATATAAACAACATCTACCGCCTGTGTTCTCTTTTTTTTTTTTGTTATTGCTTTTTTGTTACTTTGCTCAGTGTGATCAGTTTGCCAAAAACACATACAGGCCTAACAGTACTATTGCACAAAATTTGTATGATTTTGTTTGGGCCAGTGATTGATTGAGTTAATTGTAGAATTTTCTTAAAAGACCTTCGCTCAGGGAAGAACTATCTTCGTTTTTGATTTTAGGGTCTTTACCTTACAATATAAAGTGCCTTGAGGCAACTGTTGTTGTGATTGGGTGCTATATAAATGCACCTGAATTGAACTGAAGCTTCTTAGAAAGGTTGGGGAGGTATTGTACGTTAGCTGTGGCAGAAGCAGTAACCGAATAAAATACGTCAAATTTCAATCAGACAGGCAGCAGTAATGACCATCTGCAGAATACTGATGGTATGCCACAGAACTAGTAATCTTGGAAAATATCTTTCACTATCTCCCCTATCCTCCGTGCCATCAGATATCAGAATTAATTTAGAACTAAGTGTAATTACATGGAAGAAGGGTTTTATTACAAAAATGATTACTTAAAAAAAGAAATGAAAGATATATCAGTGCACTTCTGGAAAACACTTTGACTCAGAAAAGCATAATATTTCACGAAATGTTAATACCAGCTAAAAAAAAAACTGCCATTAGACCATATGGAGAGTGGGTGTCCATATTTAAATTACTGCGCACCTCATTTTGGAAACGAACTCATCATGTTGCACATTCATTTTTCCGCATAACTTCCTAATGCAATCTAATCAGGGATATAAAAAATACCGGAAACTGCAATATGAGCAAATTAAACTACCCACAGCTGTCTGTTCACAGCTGTAATTACCTCACTGGTGTTTCTCTCCATCATTTGTTTGACCCTTGTGAGACGGTGAGAGGATTTTTGGTCTCTGCACACACCAACAGACAGTGGTGCATACGCGATGGGGGTTAAACTGAGCAGAGGAAGGAGTCATCTTAGGTAAACCACTTCAAAATATTCACTTCCACTGAGCTGTAAAAAATGCAGTTGCATGTAACCAACCCCTGACAATACTAGCATCTGTTAAGCATTTATTCCTCTCCAACTTACATGATTAGTGAAGAGGTTTGGGATGAGATGATTTAGAGAGCGGATACAGGGTATCATTAGGAGGAGGAGTACAAAATGGTGAAAAAGAAGGGGGAGAAAAAAAAAATTCATGCTGAAAAATCACGAGGAGTTTCAGACTGTTGCTTGCCTTTCATGTTAGAGGAGCAGCTTCCTGTGTGGGCCTCTCTAGGCAGAGCGTGCCCCAGCAGCAGAGTCAGTTCTACCTCTACCCAGGCTTCAATGCTAATGAGCACATCGCCACTCCTCCCTAACACTGCTTTGGGAGTCTCAGTGTATCCTTCGCCATGCACTAACCACTCGTCCCTCCCTGATACTAGCCATGCTGTTTGTTTCATCCAGGTCGTTGGCTTAATGCTCCTTCTCACTTATCCTGCCTGTCTAAATGCCACATGGTGATGTGCACTGATACAGGTGCTAAATGCGCACACATGAAGCCTTCCTTCTTGTCCTTGCCCTTCATTGTCTTCCCTTCTCAATTTGGACACACTGGTGCTGAATTCCATGGGGGGGAATAAGGGTCTGAGAAATAGGCTCAGTGTAAGGGAGCTTCACGCAAGGCTGCCACTTGAAAGAAAAAAGGCTTAGAAACAAGACCCCAGGGTACTAGCTAAACAAAGTGCTAATGGCATTTACTCAATTGAACCAGTATCTCTCTAGCATAGGCTACTATCAGTCCTGGAGGAAAGTAGGGAAACACCCATAATTAATGATCTTCAGCTCCTATCACAGTTACTGCAACAGCTGCATACACAATCGCATAAACACACACTCGTTCTTTATGCAGACAACACCAGGCTTACAGCCACAAAAGCAAATAACCGTCTCTTGAGCTTACATAATGAGCATCCTAATGTTCTAACAGTGACACATATCCTTGTACAGCTAAGACCTGCTTTTTCAAATCGTTTGGCCCAAAGCGTGAGCTAAAATCACTGTCATTACAACGTAATTTTCAGTTTGCGTTCGTAAAAGCCACTTGATACTTTACAAACAGTAACTACTCATATACTTAGAAAAGATATTTAGGAATGGGCAATGTGACATTAATGCTGTGGGATTTAGGGCCGGGGCTTCACAAAGTGAGACATCGGCGGACTGACAGGTCTGAGATAAAAGATGTGCTGGTTGAAGGGAAACAGGAGACAGACAAAGCTTTGAACACACCACAGCGGGTCAGAAGTGTCAGGTTATATCCCTCTAATTCTTAACTACATCCCATACAAGTTCATTACATGGGAAAAGATGATGTCTTATATACTGCAAATGGTATGTTATAAAGGGCCTGTCTAATCGTTTCTATCTACCTCCTTGCATGCTTTGAATGGAGAATAAGAATTTTTGCCTTACAGGATTTTTGCCTTTACAAATTTTTTTTTTAATCTT